CTCCGGACTAAATCCTGTAACTTCTGACTAGGAACAGTTGCTCAGTTACTCTCTCAAATGTGTTCCCACTTACAGGTTTTATGTCAATAGGAACGACTTCCTGTAAGTTCTGACTAAATCCTGTAAACCGGACTGCTATTGGAACAGACTATGTGTTTCTTGGGCAATGATCGCGGTCCGGATAAAAAATTTGTACGCAAATGCAACAACAACGATATGATCCTGATAGAGATCTGGTTCAATTTATCATCCGCTGTGTTGCTGCACAGTTTGGTAGCACTTACAAATGCATTTATACACAAACAGATATTCTGCCAATTTTTTCTTTTAACTTGATTCAAATAAATCGCATTTATGTTAAATATTTATTAAAGTGAATATAATTTCGCTTAATGTACTTTTCTGCATTTAGTGAATTCATTTTTATAATTTCGGCTTCCTCATGCTAGTAGTATAAAATCAGTGCTGCCAAAACCAACAAGAATGATCCAGACCGTTTCCGTGAGAAATGATCGTGACACTGAGCTGGATAATCGAAGGAAGGAAACACAACTATTGTCAAATCCGCCCTCAACAAGTTCTTCATTTCTCTAGTGATGTGCATAGTCGAAATTTTTAAGTATTGATCGAAACTCGGTACCAAAATGTTTAGGTTTCTAATAAAATCCCACAGAGGCCAGGGGAGCCTCGCCTATCAAAATCCTATTGTAGGAGCCAAGAGCTTTTAATAATTATTATTCAACTAAAAATTTATATATGTCGGTTTGTTTTCGTCGCAATTATGCAGAAAACTCCTTGTTTGAAATATTTTTGTTCTATGTAGATGAATCGGACGATATTAGCTTTATAGACCTCAAAAGCTTTTCGGTCCGTCAGAGCATTTTTCATCTACTAAATGAAAACTGATAAAATGATACTTTGTTATTGCCATAAATTCACGATTTTTAGACGGTATTATATTGAATAGAAATGACATAATATTTTCATAAACATGAAATTTATATTATGGCGCACATTTAATGTAAAGAATCGAAAAAGGAAGTATGTCGTACCAACATTTTTTGAAGTATTGGCTAACGATTATAGGGTACCGAAAATTCAGCACATCTCTACATTTGTGGAATTCTTACAACGTCGCATGATTTTAATTCCTTCTTTACATTTCCATTCTCAATAATTTGCCAAATAAATGTTGGAGTTATGATAAAATATAGCGCATTATTTTGTTATTTGTTACTATTAACGATCGAAATTCACGCAAGGGGTCGGATTGTGAAACGCAAGACCACTACTAAAGCTCCAAAATATACCATAGAATCATGGCCGGGCAAGTGGTTTCCCCACCCACCACTTCCCAAGGATTCGTGGAAGGGCAAATGGTTTCCATACCCACCTTATACAAATGGACAAACCTTAAGGGATCAACATGCAAAAAATACACTCAGTGCGTCGGAGATTTGTGACGATGGCAAGGTACGTTAAATTGTTGTATTAATATAACATTATTAATAGGCTTTAGCAATATAATTACAGCAAAATATTGGTGTAGACCATGATCCAAGTGATGTGCGACAAACTTTTGAACATCTCTGTTTAGCTAACCGCTCTTCATATTCACCAAATATGGACCGGGAAGCCTTCCGGATCGAATACTTTATACCTCCTGCATACGTAGCGCCATCTAAGTGCCTTAATGAAACAATAAACTACGATACGGCGCTTCCCACTTACGGTGCATTCCGCCCCATCCCGCCAAAATATGGTTCTTACACATATCTACCAGCGCAACGATGGGTTTCGTCATTGTCTCGAGGAGCGATTGTAATGCTTTATCATCCATGCGCATACAGTGGCCAAGTCAAATTGTTACAAGATACTCTTCGTGCTTGTTTATATCGCCACATAATAACACCCACGCAGGCCTTAAGCCCGGAACGTGCACTCGCTTTACTGGCTTGGGGAAAGAGCTTGGAAATGTCTGTAGTAGATGAAAATTTAGTTGTGGATTTTATCAGACAGAATGCAGGAAAAGGTCCAAATGTTCCATCGAAGCAGCAAAATATATCCAAGACGTATCAAGCGGGCTTGTTACAGGAAGCCCACTTAGTTACCGATGAAAATGATGAAGAAGTTTGTGGATACAGAGAAGATATGTAAAGCTTTAATTAACTAAGGTGCAATATTAATACTGTGAATTACTTAAATTAAGATCAGAATATGCTTTCCGAATATTTACATGCCTTATTGGGTTTAAAATTTTATAAAAGTTTATTGTAGAAAAGTTTTCGCGTGTAATTAGATAATGTTAAAGAAAATTTAGGAATATGAATAAAATTCGATTAAAAAGAATACCAAAAATTATTCAATAGATTTGGCAACCCCGTTAAATAGGAAAGGGAAAAAACGCGAGAAAAACATATGGCCATCAGCTGTGATTAGACTAAGTTCAGACGGAGAAACTTTTGTTGCTCATTTCGCCAATTTTTCTCTTCTCGTTCACACAGAGCAATTCTTTTGTACACAATTGTTATAGTCTGCTGTGAACGGCCAACTAGAATTACTCTGACGAACGATAGCACAAAGCGTGTTGCCCGAGCACGAGCAAATTGGTGCCCTTCCCCCTTCCTCGTCACTCCATCTCCCACAAGTAACGAGTTGCCGCGACAAAAGTTTCTCTATCTGAACCTAGACTTAAGGGGGAATATTTAAAAAACCCGGATACTGGTTTCATGAACATTTCTATTCCCATTTTTCAAAAAAAGGTTTCAAAGCTAAAGATTTTTAGTATTCCTTGTCCTCAATACGCCAAATAAATTTTCATAACGAAAACAATGTAAAATGAACATGAATTTTACCGAAATTTTGTTTCCAAATACCGAGTACTAGATACATCCAAAAGCTACATCATTAGAAGTGTTCACGAAAATTATTTCGTCAATTCTCGTTTACAAAAAGCGGTGGCTGAATATTTTCTGAAATTTTGTTTTGCAAAATGTCTTTGACATTTTCGGATATCTGCAACGATCTCAAAACATTTTTGGAAAGCATTTGTCGCACCTGTAGTCGAATTGATAATGGAGATGGGCAATTACAGTTTAAGCGCATATTTGATATTACAGTAGAGCCGCTGGTTACATTTTCTGAAGATGGCGAGGGATTCCAAGCAAGCGAGGAATTCAAAGATGTGTATAATGAATTATTGTTTTGGAAACTTAATGTGAGTCAATTCATTTTTAATAAATCCGTAAATAACATTAATATTTATAGATTAAACCAAATGATGGATTGCCACAGCAAATTTGTCATGATTGCTTTGAGCGTTTAAATGGTGTAAAACATTTCCGTAATCTCTGCCTGGATACGCAAACTTTATTACAGTCTTATATAAATCATGTGGACACATTATTGGAGTCCGGTAGTTTGGGACGCTTATCTCCCCGAGGAGAATCTCTAAAAAGTGAATCGCGCAGTTCACCAGCGCCTTTACTGTTTAATCCAGATGACTTGGTAGAAGAATCCCCAGAAACTCCCGAACGCCTAACATCCCCACAAAATTCACCCAAAAGTCAATCCTTATATCAAAGCCCTCGTTATAACAAGGAAATTGTGTATGCGGAAAGTTCAATGGGTACACCTCCACCACTATTTGACGAAATGAACACTGAGCCAATAGATATGGAGACACTGGAGTATTTAAAAGCAGAATCCGATCCGGAAACAAAACAACACCCAGTTCAATCTCTTGATCCAACCCCAGACATTTTACATCCTTTGAACTTCATAAGTAGTAGTGAGGATGAAGACACCGATGATGAAAGTGTCACCGATACTGAGCCAGATACAATGCCATATAATGCAAATTACTCTCCACGTCGTTCTCTGCAGTGCAAAATTTGTTTCGCAATTTTTCCTAAGCGCTTTCTATTGAAAGAACACCGCCTGCGCTTACATCCACAAGAAAACCCATACGTTTGTAATATTTGTTCCAAAGGATTTAAATCGAATTTCCAATTGTCTCAACACAAACACAAGCATAGTCGCCTGGACTCAATAAAGTGTAAACAATGCGGCAAACATTTCCGTAGTCAACTACATTTACAACGCCATCATAAGAATTTTCATTTAACATCCACTTACACATGCCATATTTGCAATGAAAAATTCGAAAACTACACACAAATGCGATTTCAATATCATGTGCGACAGCACGGCGAGAAACGGTTTCAATGCCAGTTTTGTGAAAAGTCATTTCATCAAAAAATCCACCAAATCAATCATGAACGTACCCACACAAAGGAACAGCCATTTCGATGTGATGTTTGCGGAAAGTGTATGTTAAAATTTTACTAATTAATGTTAACCCCGTTCTTGTTTTAACATGTATATATAATATATACTCAGGCTACCGCCAGCAAACGGCTTGCAGAGAACACATGTTGACACACAAAGATCCTACTCCATTCAAGTGCTCAATTTGTCAAAAAGGTAAAGATATTGATTTCAATCCCATCAATTATAAATAAGTATCCAATTTATTAATTTCTACAGGATTTACTCAGCGCTCGAGTTTGCGTATGCATTTACGTGGTCACAGCCAACATAGCAAGAAGAAATCTCGTTTTAATTGTGATTTATGTGGACAAACTTTCTCGAAGGAAGCACAATATGAGTGGCATCAATTGAATCATAAATCTTATTGTAAGGAACCGACAACTGCATTTGGATTAGAGACACAAACTACACATGGACTAAGTAAAGCGCTTTTAAATAATTTAAATGAAACATTGCTTACTCTTTATTTTTGTGCTTTGCAGCTTCTAAGAGATTTGATTGTAATATTTGTGGTAAATCGTTTCTAAAAGAGAAGTTACTTTTACTCCATGAACGGCAATATCATGGAAGTGTTATTGATGAAGAAGGTGATTCAGAGAGCGGGCTTCTCTACAATCCTTCCTCTGACAGTAAATATGCTTTTTAATTTTTTTTATGACTTGTAAAAGTATAGCATGTTCCTTAGATCGTATGCGCAGGACTAATGAAGACACCATTGATAAAGACGTATTAAAATTTTTTAGCATATAAGCTGTTAATGTTCATTTGTAGGATCTGAAACATTTGGAATTGGGAATAAATATAGAATATCAAATACAACCTTAACTATTTCAAAATCCACATATATACATACATATGTGCAGCTCAATAGCTAAAAGACTATGGGCCTGTTCGAGGTACGTAATAAAAGCGTAATAAAAATACTGCAGCACATATAAAAATTTGCACTACTGTTGCAACTTTCCACCTGATAAAACGTTGCTAGAAATTCACACCGAACGTGATACTTTAATACTGCGCGCAACACTGCGGTTGTGATTGCATCTCGAACAAGCCCTATTCCAACTCAATAAACGAGATTTTTCAGGAGACGCGTTTAGTTTTCAATTTGGTCCCAAAATGTATTGTCTTACGTGGGAACTACACAGATCTCATTTATTGAGTCAAGACTGTATTTTAGTATATGAGTGATATGTACATTAGGGTGGTCCAAAAATGCATGTAAAATAGTAAAGTTGGAATTTTTATGCACTCGACCGCTAGGATTGTTCTGTATCGAAAAAAAGTATAGCCCTTTTTTTTGAAAAAAAAATTAGAAGAAAGCTTAATAGTAAATTTCTTATTCACTTAGGAATTATAACCCTCACTAAGTAGAATTCTACATTCTGTGTTGCCGGAAGAGTGGCGGAAGTAATTTTGGGTAGAAGAAAGCTTAATAGTAAATTTCTTATTCACTTCTTGAGCGGGTTTTCTATGATTTTTTGATTTTCTTGAGATCTGGAAAATATGTTCTGGGCCCAAAAGTGACATCTTCCGAATTGGGGTTATGACACCTTATAGGAAGTGACATAACCTCAAGAAAATAATGCCTTTCTGTTACTGTATAAAGGGCCAACATACGACTTTTGCTGCGCTTTGCTTCATAATTCCGCTTTGATTGATAAGTTCAACACATGATTTTATAAGAGCCTTGCTAAATAGAAGGCGAGAAAAGCAAAGCGAAGCAAAATCATGGGGAACTCTCAACTTTTGCGCGCTTTGGCAATCAGCTGGCTACATCCATGATTCAATAATACATGTATTATTGAATCATGGGCTACATCTATCTTTTCTCGCGCGCTTGCATTTGCATTTAATGACAAAAAGTTTAGTGGTCGCTCAGAGCACTCAAAGTTTTCCATGAATTTTGTATGGAAAAAAACTTCGTGGAAATGGTATGGAATTCTTGAAAACCAATATTTTTCGACCGGAAGACTGTTTCTCTTCAACAGATTCCCTATAATAAAACCCAATTATTATTTTAACAATTTTTTCTTAGTACCTATACTTTATAGGACCGCCAAACCCCCCAGAAAATGCCAGAAAATGCAATGGGGGGATAAATAAAAAAATCTTCATTATTAAAAAATGGTTAAATAAATAATTGAATATTGTTATTGGAAGTCTCCTGAAGAGAACCAAAGTTTTCCGATAGAAAAATATTGATTTTCAGCAATTCCATACCGTTTCCACATAAAGTTTTTTTTTCATACAAAATACATGGAAAAATTGGAGTGCTCTGAGCGACCACTAAACTTTTTGTCATTAAATGCAAATGCAAGCGCGCGAGAAAAGATAGATGTAGCCCATGATTCAATAATACATGTATTATTGAATCATGGATGTAGCCAGCTGATTGCCAAAGCGCGCANCATAGGATCGCCAAACCCCCTAGAAAATGCCAGAAAATGCAATGGGGGGATAAATAAAAAAAACTTTATTATTAAAAAATGGTTAAATAAATAATTGAATATTGTTATTGGAAGTCTCCTGAAGAGAACCAAAGTTTTCCGATAGAAAAATATTGATTTTCAGCAATTCCATACCGTTTCCACATAAAGTTTTTTTTTCATACAAAATACATGGAAAAATTGGAGTGCTCTGAGCGACCACTAAACTTTTTGTCATTAAATGCAAATGCAAGCGCGCGAGAAAAGATAGATGTAGCCCATGATTCAATAATACATGTATTATTGAATCATGGATGTAGCCAGCTGATTGCCAAAGCGCGCAAAAGTTGAGAGTTCCCCATGATTTTGCTTCGCTTTGCTTTTCTCGCCTTCTATTTAGCAAGGCNGCAATTCCATACCATTTCCACGAAGAGTTTTTTTTTCATACAAAAAGCATGGAAAAATTGATTTACTATTAAACTTTCTTCTACGCAAATTTACTTTCGCCACTCTTTTCCGGCAACACAGAAAGTAGAATTCTACTTAGTGAGGGTTATAATTCCTAAGCGTGACCGAGGCCGCCTATACAGGAAGAATTTCTGCATAAAAATACCCATTCCGTTCAGGAGACTTCTACAGTTTATTATTAGGGTTATATAATTTTTCGGGGAAAATGCTACTCTCTGGGAATTAGTTATTGGAGGATTTCTTTCTCGGGAGAAACAAATTCCCGGAGAACAAACTCCCTGGTAGTATTCAGAATTGGGCTGTATATTTATATGCGAACATACTTCAACTCAGGATCCGCTTTCCACATTATTCCTGATTTCAGGCAAGGAATCTCCGTAAACTTCAAAAAAAGTTTGAGAAAAAACTGTATTGGATCTGGATTCCGATATTTTCCAGATTTTTTCGATACATACTCAGTACTTGGTTTACAAGTTTCGATACCAAAAGTAGTTGGTATTAAAATGGAAATATCGAGTATTTACTTGTATTTATTTACATCGTTTCATCCCTAGACTACGATATCTTCGGCGTATTTCTGGACAAACATTTAATTCAGTTTTTATTTAACAAGCGACTTGATCGAGTTGATAAGTTTAATTTGAGGAGCACCAGGGATATTGTGGTTGTGTCCATTGTGTTGTTCTTCATTTTAGTTTTTTAAAAGATTCCTTTGGGTTTTTATTCCGATTTATTTTAACAATTTATAGACCAAGTGTCAGCCAGCCGCATAAAAAGCAACAAAATCGCTGACGTACTAGCCCAAATAGTTCAGCAGCTGTGTGTTATAAGCCAGCTGTGCGGGGAATAAAGTGCATCGAAAAGAAAGGGAGACAAACTTCTATAGAAATAGAAAAAACTATTCGCAAATAAAATTGCATCACGTGAGTATTACGTGAACGTCAAATAGTAGCAGGAAAAACGCATCGCAGCAAAACGACTTAACTTCGATAAGAGGAAATATCCTCAAAGCGGCTCCATCCAGCTAGCCCATCGGCGTTAACGCAAATTACTTTCATTATTTTTTGTGGACGTTTTCCACATATTTTCCAAAAGCACTAAATAAACCA